GTGGGTGAGTTAGTGGGTGGGTCGGGAGCCCTTTTCTTAAGGACTGTGTTCTTAGAATACGATGAGTGGCAGGTCATGGAGATCCTCTGACCTCTCACCCTGGTTCCTAGGTAGTGACCTGCCTCAGCACTACTGTTCTGTCTGGCCACTACGTGGGCTTCTCCATGGTGTCTCTGCTCTTGGAGCTAAACTCAGCCTGCTTGCATCTGCGGAAGTTGCTACTACTTTCTCACCAGGATCCATCCCTGGCCTTCAGCCTGACCAGCTGGGCCACCCTGGTCACCCTGGCCCTCTTCCGCCTGGTACCACTGGGGTGGATGAGTCTGTGGCTGCTCCGGCAGCGCCATCAGGTGCCTCTTGCTCTGGTTATTCTTGGTGGAACTGGGCTGGTCACTGTGGGTGCCATGAGCATCACACTGGGTGTCCAAATTCTGGTCAGCGATGTACTGCAACCTTGGCCCCACCCACCTGTCCCCGGGCACAAGGAAACCAGGGGGACCAAGACGTGTTGTGATGGTGAGCCTGTCGCCAGGGGCGATTCCACTCTCGGCTTAAAAGACTAGAGAGGGCCAGGCGTGGGGGCTCACGCCTATAATCTCAGCAATTTAGGAGGCCAAGGTGAGAGGATTTCCTGAGCCCACAGATTCAAGACCACCCTGGGCAACTTGCTGAGGCAGAAGGATCACTTGAGCCCAGCAGGTCGAGGCCACAGTGGCTGTGAGCGTGCCACTGCCCTCCAACCTGGGTGGCATAGTGAGACTCCAACTCAAAAAAAAGAAAAGAAAAAGAAAGACTAGAGAGAAGCTGTGGGCTCCTCTTCTGCTAGCTCTGGGGGAGGTGAGGCCAGGACAAAGAGATGGTGGTCTTCAATGCACAGTCCTCCATTGAGATAAGGATCATCAGTATCTTGGTTTCTCTTCCCCCTCCTGGACTCTAAGAAGAAATGCTGATGTTGGGTGGGTGGGAACCTGGGTTACTGTTCACTAAAATCCATCATCAGATGACTACCCTTTCCAGCAAGCAAACTCGAGAGGTACAGCCAGACCTATCAATAAAGGGTGGCAGGAGGCATGAAGCTGGAAGAAGCCAGTGGAAACAGAAACTCTAGCACAAGGACACACAAGGAAAGGCATGGTCCTACTAGCATCAGATCTGGTGTGGAAGGGGTGGGGTCAGAGGGAAGAGAGACCTCACCTATGACCAAATTCTGGCTGTGGGAGGAAAGCACAAGAGGTGCCATCTGTAGCCTGTAGAGATGAATGTGATAGTTGCCAAGAGACAGAAGCCGGGCCACAGCAATTGCTGCTGATATTTCTGATTCTCAAAGCCACATATTGTTTTTGTACACTTAACCCTGGTCCTACTGTGTCCAACCTTTTTAAATTGTTTAGTATTTTCTGACCTTTTCATAGAAAATGCAGATTTTTTTTAACTGGAAAATATAGTTTATTTAGAAAGTAAATTAGAGAGAGAGAGAAAGGAGATTAACCTCTCCAAGGTAAAGGAAGGGGCCAAAACCTAGGGAAACATGGCCTGGCCATAGCTCAAAGAACACATGGCCAGACCACAGGTTAATAAGGCAATGGCCGAAAATGCAGATTCTTAGAGGAATGAGCACAGAGCTAGGTCTGTCTTCTTAGGGCAGCAATGAAGCCCAGTCATAGAAGGGATTCAAACACCCATCCAAACAATCAGTGTAGGGTCTTCTCAGGCCTGGGCTTTCACAGAAGAATGAGGGCAGAAGCAAAGCAGATGAGAGCAAGCTCCCACTTGGTGGCTGAGGGATAAAGGAAGAGCTGACCCTCTTCTGGGATTCATTCACAAACTCTTCTTCCTCCCTGCTGCTCGGCTGCATTTTTTCTGTTGCACAGTATTCCTCCCTTCTCAATCAGAACATCCACGTTATAGGAAGTGTCGAGCAGTTTAAGGTTGCTGTTCTACTAAACAATGGACAGTAAGAGATAACCCTTGCTCATCCACAGAAAAGATACATGAGCAAAAGTAAGAAACAGGAAGCATTGTGTGGTTTTTTGTTGTTGTTGTTGTTTTTCCTCCTACTAAGAAGCTCAGGTAGAGAATGACAGAAAGGATGACAAAGACATACAGACATAGATTGAGGGACAGATAGAGAGAAGGATTTATTGCATGAGAGGAGACAAGGATTAATTGCAAGAGAGGAGACAGAGGCACAGAGATTGAGGGCAAGAGAGAGAAAAGCCTTGGCAGAAAAATGGAGAAAGACAGTCATAGATGCTGAGAGGAAGCAAAATGAAAAAACTGGTAAAACGGTCATAAACAAAGAGAACAAGAAAATAGAAATAAAGGCTGATAGGAAGGGTCCCCAAGGATGGAAGGCACAGATAGTCTAGACAGTGAAATAATGAGAGTGAGTGAGTGACAAGGAGAAACAACCAGGCTCCGGAGAGATGGAGAAAATGGTGGCAGATAGAGAGATTAGCAGAGAAAGAAGAGAGAGGCGGAAACAGACAAGGGGGGATTAGTCAGGGGAGCCGGGAAGAAGAAGACAGAGGAGGCAGTCCATGCCAAGATTTGCTGACAGAAGAGAAGCAGGAAATAGGGGAGTTAGAGACAGCCAGAGAGACAAAGGACAAACAGCTACAGTGCAAAACACAAAGACACAGGCTGACAGTAACTGATAGGCAGAGACTGGTGGGAAGATGAAGACAAGTCAGAATCAGGGATGTCAATTGAGATAGAAGAATAGGTAAAGGGACTGACAAGAAAAATCACAGAGAGACACAAAAGCAGGGGAGGGCAGAACAATTAAATATCTGAAGGAAGGAACAAAGAAAAGGAGGGGAGACAGATAAAGTGAGAGAAAAGAAATAATAGAAGCATTAAAAAAAATGAGAGCGAGGGATTGTGAGAGATCTCCATCATAGACAGATCAAAAGGAAAGAGTAAAAATTGAGATGCAAAGGGAAAAATATAACAAATTTAGACTGAGGAGAATGGTGACAGTTTGGAAGGAGATAAATACAGGCAGAAAATAAGAGCCGAGAGTTTAATAAGACAAAAACCTGCCGGGCATGGTGGCTCATGCCTGTAATCCCAGCACTTTGGGATTTTGGGAAGCAGGGGTAAGAGGAGTGCCTCTGTCCAAGGGTTCAAGATCAGCCTGGGCAACTTGGCGAGACCTTGTCTCTACAACAAATCAAAAAATTAGCCAGGCAGGATGGTGCAAGCCTGTAGTTCCAGCTACTTGGAAGACTGAGGTGGAAGGATCACCTGAGCCCAGCAGGTCCAGGCTGCGATGGCTGTGAGCATGCCACGACACTCAAGCCTGGGTGACGGAGTGAGACTCCAACTTAAAAAAAAAATTCATACAAGAAGAGTAAGATTAGCTGCCAGTGGAGGCAGGCTATAAGGACACCTGAAGAGTTTGAGCCCTCACATGAATTTTTATGACATGATGACCACCTGAAACTTCAGGAAGGCAGGACTGGATTGTGATTATCACTGAGTAAGTAGGAGTAGAATTAACTAGAGTATGGACCAGATAAAGATGATGTGAATCAAAGAAGGATTGCCACTTGGAACCCCAGAAAGGGGAAGTTCAAAAATACAGATGTTGGCAGATGCAGCATTTGGTATGGGTTTGGTCAGCAGAGCAGTGCTTTGTCAGACCTTGCTGTGGCCCAGGGAATTAATTGGTCCTCAAGATGGACTCCATGCTGCCTACCAAGCTGCTTGCTGATGAATTCTTTGTCTTCCAGGATGGGGAAGAGGCTTTCTTGGATGGGGTAATTATTTTTTTGGTCTTGGAACACTATCCTGATTATAAATTAATAAATTGCTATGAAATAATTACACAAGTCTCTTGTGAGTGTGGTTTTTCTTTTTTTTTTTGAGTTGGATTCTCACTCTGCCCAGACTGGAGTGCAGTGGCATGCTCCTGGCCACCGCAGCCTCGACCTGCTGGGCTCCGGTGATTCTTCTGCCTCAGCCTTCCAAGTAGCTGGAACTACAGGCGTGCACTACCATGCCCGGCTAATTTTTTGATTTTATTGTAGAGATGAAGTCTCACCAAGTTGCCCAGGCGGGTCTCGAACCTGCGGGCTCAGGCAATCCACTCACCTCAGCCTCCCAAAGAGCGGGATTACAGGCTGAGCCACCGAGCCCGACTGTGAGTGTGGTTTCTTTGAGTCACTTTTCTTGGCTTCAGTGGTGTCCTGATTTATAATGCAATATAAATGCTGGACTATGGAGACTTTGCCTTGGGAAAGTTTTCTCGTGGTACTAACTCTTTTTTTTCCTTTTGATTGGGAGTCTTATGCTGTTGCCTAAGCTACAGTGCAATGGCATGATCACAGCCAATGCAACCTCAACCTGCTGGGCTCAGGTGATCCTCTGCCTCAGCCTTCCAAGTAGTTGAAACTACAGGTACCTGCCACCACACCAGGCTAATTTTTTTATTAATTGTAGAGACGAGGTCTCGCCAATTTGCCCAGGCTGATCTCGAACCCCTGGGTTCAAGCAGTCCTCTTGCCTTTGCCTCTCAAAGTACTGGAATTGCCAGGATGAGCCACCACACCCAGCCCAGGCTTGCTTTTTAATAGTAGAGGATCTTAGAATATTTCTTTCTTTTTTCTTTTTGAGTTAGAGTCTCACTCATCACCCATACTGCAGTGCAGTGGCACACTCATGGCCACTGCAGCCTTGACCTGCTGGACTCAGGTAATCCTTCTACCTCAGCCTTTCAGATAGCTGGAACTACAGATGCAGACTACCACACCCAGCTAGTTTTGTGTGTGTGTGTGATTTATTGTCAAGATGAGGTCTCACCAAGTTGCCCAGACTGGTCTCGAACCCCTGGGCTCAGGCAATCCTCTCACTTTGGATTACCAGAGTACTGGGATTACAGGCTGAGCCATCGTGCTGAAATATTTCAAAGGTTTGTATTAAAAAGAGTTAGTAAGCCGGGCTCGGTGGCTCAGCCTGTAATCCCGCACCTTTGGGAGGCTGAGGTGAGTGGATTGC